GTGAACCAGCGCATGGACAGCTACGCGCACATGAACGGCTGGAGCAACGGCAGCTACAGCATGATGCAGGACCAGCTGGGCTACGCGCAGCACCCGGGCCTCAACGCGCACGGCGCGGCGCAGATGCAGCCCATGCACCGCTACGACGTGAGCGCCCTGCAGTACAACTCCATGACCAGCTCGCAGACCTACATGAACGGCTCGCCCACCTACAGCATGTCCTACTCGCAGCAGGGCACCCCCGGCATGGCGCTGGGCTCCATGGGCTCGGTGGTCAAGTCCGAGGCCAGTTCCAGCCCCCCTGTGGTTACCTCTTCCTCCCACTCCAGGGCGCCCTGCCAGGCCGGGGACCTCCGGGACATGATCAGCATGTACCTCCCCGGCGCCGAGGTGCCGGAGCCCGCCGCCCCCAGCAGACTTCACATGTCCCAGCACTACCAGAGCGGCCCGGTGCCCGGCACGGCCATTAACGGCACACTGCCCCTCTCGCACATGTGAGGGTCGTGTACGGTGAACTGGAAGGGGGGATTTTTTTCAAGGAGAAACGAGGGGGAAATGGAGAGTACGAAGCAGCGTGGAGGAAAAACCCGGTATGCTCAAAACAAAAAAAGTTATCACCCACAGCAAATAACATCTGTCTGCAAAAGAGAACACCAATCCCAGCTACACTCACAGAAAAAAAGCCGCGATGCCGACAAGAAAACTTTTATGAGAGATCCTGGACTTCTTTTTGGGGGACTATTTTTGTACAGAGAAAACCGGAGGGGGGTGGGTGGGGAGGGCGAGGGGATGGACCTTGTATAGATCTGGAGGAAAGAAAACTACGCAAAACTTTTAAAAAGTTCTAGTGATACGGTAGGAGCTTTGCAGAAAGTTTGCAAAAGTCTTTACCAGTAATATTTAGAGCTAGTCTCCAAGCGACGGGAAAAAAAATGTTTTAATATTTGCAAGCAACTTTTGTACAGTATTTATCGAGATAAACATGGCAATCAAAATGTCCATTGTTTATAAGCTGAGAATTTGCCAAAATTTTTCAAGGAGAGGCTTCTTGCTGAATTTTGATTCTGCAGCTGAAATTTAGGGCAGTTGCAGCCGTGAAAAGGAAACTATTCAGATTTGGACATTTTAATTGTTTAAAAATTGTACAAAAGGAAAAAAAAAACAACTAGGATATGTACTGGTAAAACTATCTCCGCGGTCTTTAAAGGGGCAAAAGTTTTAGATTGTACTAAATTTTTTTTAACTTACTGTTAAAAGTAAAAATGGCCATGCAGGTTGACATCATTGGTAATTTATAATAGCTTTTGTTTCCCAACTTTCCATTTTGTTCAGATAAAAAAAAAACATGAAATTACTGTGTTTGAAATATTTTCTTATGGTTTGTAATATTTCTGTAAATTTATTGTGATATTTTAAGGTCCCCCCCCCCTTTATTTTCCGTAGTTGTATTTTAAAGATTCGGCTCTGTATTATTTGAATCAGTCTGCCGAGAATTCATGTATATATTTGAACTAATACCATCCTTATAACAGGTACATTTTCAACTTAAGTTTTTACTCCATTATGCACAGTTTGAGATAAATAAATTTTTGAAATATGGACACTGAAATTATTCTTGAGTCTTTCATTTATTTGGTGAACACTGATTAGACATAACTCCTCAGGAAATATATGCTGTGCTCAGCCAAGAAAGCAAAATACCTAAAACCTTGGTATTCTGTTCCAGTAGCATGTGCTCATGTTAACAGCAACAAATATGTGGCTGGATGGTTGAGTAAGTACTGGAAAAAATTAAAATGCTCATGTCATTTCTAAAATAGAAACTAAAGACATAGATTGTAAATTCGCCCCCCCCCTCCTTTTCTAAGCAGCATGATGGGGACTTAAACTGATTTATGCCACTTGTTGCCAGATAGGAGTCCATTCTGAAATTTTTCGTGTAGTTTAGCAGATGGGGTATTGAGCCAAATCGGGACCAGGTTGGCTGGTTTTGTTTTCGTTTTCTTCACAGTACAATGGCCCTTTGGAAATGTGGTTATAGGGGAAAATGCTTCTCGTATCGGAATAATTGCAAACTAGACATGCAAAGTGCTCATCTGCTGGGTGGGTGTTTGGATTACTCCAGCCCTGCTATTGTCTGAGAGGAAACAAGTGGTTTGCTTTCTTTGTTCCTTGACTTCATAAACTTTCTCCTCTAACATTTTCCTGTTTAGGGGTGAGAGAAAGCGAAGAGCGTCTTGCAAAAACGCCTGACTTGCCACGGCTATTATTATCATTATTTATTTTATTTTTTCCTCTCTCTCTCCCTCCACGAATCCCATTTCTTAAATTGGCAGCGCGGGTCCAAGCCTGTAGCCCCAAATCGGATAATCTCTGCAGCTGATAACAAGCAAAAGAGAGAAGCCAGGCAACAGACATAATAAAGAAGAAAACAACTCCGAGGTAGATATTTTACTTGTCCGATCTAATCACATGTGGAGATGATTATGCTTTTGATCTGTTAACCATGTTTTACTAGTAACAGAGAGGGAGGGGGAGGGGAAGGGGTGGAGAAACAAGATGGGATTTGTTGTTTTCTTTTGCCCTAGGAAAGGTAAAGAAAGGCTATAGTTGTCCTCTGTGGGAGCAGAGAAGTTGGGGGATCGCTGTGGTCTTGGCCTTCGCGATGTTTCTGCCTCACAACCGACTCGCGCTTTGGCGCAGCCGGAGAATCCTGTAAGACCGACTCCGGGACTTTTCTTCTTTATTTACTACTTAACCTCGCTCAGCTTTCCCCGCCGAAGGGGACTAGGAACCGGGAGTCAGTCAGGCATTCTTAAAAGAGTGGGTTTGCTTCCCACAGTTTCAAGGGTTTTTTTGTGTCACCTTGTTACAACTTCGGAGAAGTTGCAACCCGGCAGCACCTTCCAACCTTGAGTAGAGTCCCGGCGGCAGCCACTCAGTTAGCTCATCCAGGGGGGTTTGCATCGCCTCGTTTTCCCAGAAAGTATTTCTTAACTCGTGCTGTTGCTAATCGTTAGTTCTGGGTTCAGCTGAGGATATCTTCTTATTTTCTGTATTTTTATCTCATGTGGCTTGCTTTATTTTCGGGGTATATTGGTTTTTATTTATTCCTTTCTTATCCTCATTTTTAGGGTAATATTGTACCGGGAAAGGAAAATTATTATGCCAGTTCTCAATTCCAATTCTAAGCCAGGTATTTCCCCCCCTAATTAATGCAGAGACTCTAAAAGAATTTCCCCAGCCTGGCCAGCCATTGTAATGCATATATGGATTATTCACGTGGTAATGAGCACTTTCGACAGTTCTTGCTCACACGTTGGAATAAAAGAAACTTTGAATAAAGATCCCGATGATCTTGCTCCGGGGGGCTGGGGAGGATATTCCCGGAATTTGAGCCAATCGACTATCTAGAGTGTATATATTTGAAAAATAGAGATATATTAAAAATATGTATTGGGGTTTAGAGTAATTGTACTGCACTAACCTCCCTTTTTAAAAAAAGAGCTCACAGAAGCAGACTAAAAAGAGCAACAACTTTTTGGCAAAAATTCTCAGGTTCAAATATTTTGCAAGAGGGAAGAGAGCAATGGTTGGGGAAGTTAAACTAGTTTTGAATGATTGCCACTCTCTGCATAAAACAAGAGAACTCCCATTCCCTCTCCTATCCCTCCACAGTCCCTACCCAAATAAAAGCCAAAATATATTATTTGTAAATATAATTTTTTTTGATAAACTGCACTTAAAACGGATACATGTTTCATCGTTCATTTGATTGGGTTAATTGGTTCCCCAAGATGTGTAGTTTCATGGTTAGATTAATATTCAACATATACTATTTTAATTATTTAATTACGTGATTCCCAAGAAGGGGGTCAACCCTTCAACTTGCCCAGAAGTGGTCATTTCCTGATGCTAAAGTTGTTCAGTTCCTTCCTTGGGATATTATTCTGCTCACTAAATCCATGTAATTTCCAGTCTAAGGGGGGCGAATTTAATGTTTTGTTAACCTATAAACTGAATAGAAATGGGCAGAAGGATGAGATTATAGTTTGTTCCCCCTGCAATTTTTTCTCTGCCCCCAGCCCTCCCTCCATACTTTAAATCAAGAGCGTTAAAATATTTTGCTGAGCTATAGTAGATTAGCGAGGTTTCTTGCCAATGCTGGGAAGCTGGTATTACAGACGGTCCCAGGGGAAAATGGCTCACATTAACCACTAAATGAATATTTGACAAGGGCTCATTCGGAGGTATTATTACTATAAACGTGTCCCTACTGGACTTTTCAAGGGTCAAAGAGCAACGCTTCAATTAATTATTTAGTCTGCTAGTAGATTTGGTTGTAATAGCTGTACTTATTCCTAGAACCAACACATTCTTACAGTAGGAAATCTCAGGAGAATCTTCTCCATCAGCAATGCCTTGAATTGAAATACACACAGAGCCCTGGTATTCTGTAGCTGACTTTTTCATAAATCCTTTTCTTGGGCTGGAGAGTGGGGGTATAGTCTCTTTTGCTATTTCATTTACTGTTTGGGGTTTAGAAGAAAGAAAAACAAAACAAGAACACAAGTTCTTGTGTTCTTGCCTGGCAAGGTCTTCTAGGGCCTTGCAATTTGGGAAGAGAGGGTAGGGGCTTTATTTATAAACTTTGCCTTTTCTAAGTAGATATGTCACAGGATTTCAGGCTCAGGCAGGGTCTGAATTTAGAAAGGGGGCACATTACTGTTTACCAATACAATTTGGGTTTTTAAATGGAAGCTGAGTACTCTGAGTTCTAGTAGCCTCAGAGTAAATTGAGGTACAAGATAGGCCCTCCTCCCTTCCTTCCCACCTATTGGTCTGAACACTTCCAGGTGTATTGGGGGAGTTGGGGGGGGCGGTGTGTGTGGAGGCGACTGTTCTATTCCTGCGTGTCCTCCAGGGCCCTAGGTTAAATGGTAGGGGAATGATTCTGAGAGTAAGATTCCTTAACAATAATATAAGGTGAATGAATAAGAGATAAGCTGCAAGGGGGGGGGGTGGTGGTGATGGGATGCAGTAGTTACAAACCCAATTCATTCAGCTTTTCAGAACTTTTGTTGTGGGAGCTCCATTGACGGGATTTAAGCTGCCAGTTTTCTCACATTAAAAAGAACTGATCAGTGCCTCCGGGGGACAAGAACTACTGCTTAACTGCATAGTGATGGGGTCTTCATTCAGAACCATTACAAGGAGAAAATTAAACAGCGCCTTTGTGCACACAAGGTTTACTTTCCAACTGCTAACAGTCTATAGCTAACTGCTCTGGGATGGAAGTTTGACTGTGGTTTGTCACCTGCTAGTTGGCACTGCTTATTTATTTGTTTGTTGTAATTAAAAGAGCTTTTTATATCCCTGCCCCCCCCCCTTTATTTCTTGCTCTTGGAGAACTTTTCAAAACAGGTCCCCATATTTGGCTTTGTGGAAACCATTTCCTTTGCCATGAGCTTTAGCAAAGACTTGAGTTAACCTTCTCCAGTACTCCTCCCACCCCCCATTATTGCCTTAAAATATTTTGCATCTCACTGTGTCTTATGCTGACTTTTCTTGCTTTCAAAACAAAAGCTGCTTTTCAGGATGGCACTAGTGAGGTTTGGGATGGAGTTGATTTCTTTTCTTTTTCTTTTCTTTTTCTTTTTGACTAAAGTTGGAAGATGTCTGGGTGGATTGCCTTTGGGACCTCATCTATGAGGTGGATCCCTCAAAAACAGGAGAAGGGGGAGAAACCTATGACCTTTACTGTGGGAAATGTGACTAAAGTTTAAAGGGACACAGCCTTGGAGTTCTAGAGTAAGCAGCTATGGAAGGAACTTTCCAAAGATTGAGAAATTGCCCAAACCAGAGAATTGGTTTGGCGTCTTTCATAGTTATTTTCTATTAAAAACTTTCCTGGAAACATGACCTCTGATATCACCCAGGGAAACTTATAACCTCCCCCCCTTCTCACGATGCTGTCCAGTTTTACAATCCTTGTTTTCAGTTTTTGTTGTGCTTCCTGTGGCCTTTAGGAAATAATGGACTTGACTTTCTTATTTGGACGAGGAGACTTCTGTTTGGAAGGGTGGGTTGTTAAGACAGGGCCAAGGTTTCCCACGGCACAGCTCTCTTTCTGTATGCAGGTCTAGATGGATTTTATTTTTGGTGTAATGTTTTTGGTGTGATTTTTTATTTTATTTTTATTGATTCCTGAACACTGTACTCCCTTTCTCTTCGAAAGCAAATAGAAGGCCCTTTCTTTTCAGGATGCAAAGATGTTTTGCTGCTTTGGGACTTTTGGACTTGAGATGCTTGCTGTACTTTGCAAAGAAGTGTCAGTTGATTTAAAAGCTCCAAGGAGTCATTCGTGTCATTACTCTCGTCTGCCTGCATGCACAGAAGGAAATGTGCAGTATCAGTAAAGATTTCGGTTCTCCGAACTAGCATTTGCCTCCCTCCCTGGGCTTGGGGGCTGGGTGCAGTGAGCGCGCTGCCTCCCACCCGCCTGCCCCAGGAGTGCACCGCGCCCAGCGCCCGGAGCAAAAGCTCCTGCAGATGGAAGCTGAGGCGCTGAGGCGGGCAAGTGCGGGGCCAGGGCGCTGACGTCACCGC